TGAGGAAAGATTCTTCTCTAAAGGGACTGCAGACATCGATTTCAGAATTGTGGCAGAATACATTTCTTCTATTTTTAGCCACCTATTTTGGGGATAATTTGTTATGGAAGCCACAGGAAACTAACATATACAAGTTTGAGGCTTGGACTTAAAGAGACCTGGGATTCCATTCCCCGCCAGAGCAAACCTGCCCTCCCATTGCCTCTGAAATCTTTCCAGTGGCCAGCATTCATTCCTTTAGAAGCAGAGTGGACCTCATGGGGGATCTGGTGACCTAAAGGGCTCATGCCCGTTGTATAGGGAGCTGCTGCCTTCTTGCTCCATGTGACACCATGACATGTGACACTGTGCCATCTCCTGCCTTATTTACTCAGATGACCTCTGCTGCTCTCCCTGCTTCTACTCTTTCCACCTTCAATCTATTTTCCATATAGTATTCAGGGTAATCTTTAAAAGAAAAACCGTAAGTCATATCAGGCTATTTCTCTGCTCTCAGCCCTCAATGGCTTCCAGTTCACTGCAGTGAAATACAAACTTCTTAGTACATCTACAAGGCCTGCTATTGTATGGACCTTGTCTTGTATGTGTTCTTCCCACTCCAGCCACAGAGACCTTCTTGCTGCATCTCCAGCATGCTGAGCACACTCCCTCTCCAGGTCCTTTGCATTGGCTGTTTTCTCCATCTGGAACCCTCTACCCCGATAGCCCCATGGCTCGCCCTCTCATGTTCATTCAGATCTTTGCTCAGAGGTTCCCTGGTCATCAGGGATTTCCCTGGCCATTGCCACTCTTCATTCCTTTACCAAGCTTTAGTCTTCTTTACAGTGTGAATCTCCATGCCACCTAGTATAGATTTTTTTCATTTATTAGGTTATTGTCCATCTTCCCCACTAACTCTAGGAAGGCAGGAACTTTTGTTTGTTTTATTTAGCAGTGTGTAGAACAGCACATAGCAGGTGCTCAATAAGTTAAATCCTAAATGCTTGAACAAATGAATGAGTAAGTAGAGGAATGCAGGCTCCATGTAACTATAACTTTTTTCCTAGAGAAGTCGGAATCTGGATATTTAGGTGAAATTCTACCAAATGTGAACCAACAAAAATTTCACTGGGGTGGCTAAAAAGATGTACCCAGGGGCCATTAGCTTGAGACCCCCGCCCTATAGGATCTGGGTCCAGTGGGAACCATGCTCCTCCATCTTCAGATGGTGCAGCCCCTCCAGGAACTGAGTGGTTCTCCAGGATCTGCCAGCCTTTCCACCCCCAGGGCCAAGCCCCTTAAGGTACTGTTTGTTGTTACAGACCAAAGTCATCCAGAGAACCTTGTTCAAAAGGCAGGATGTGGGCTGCAAGCTTCCAGCTCATCAGTTCAAAGGAAATCTACTTTGGCAGCAACGTCTCCTGGGATGTTTTCACAAGCCTCCCTGGGAGGTGATGGGGCCTCTTAAAGGACTAATAATAGCCAGGCATGTCCAGTTCCCCAAACATGTCAACCTTAAAAGTAAATGCTATTTTTTTCCTCGTTACCTTTGAATGACTGCGTAGGGAAAGGACATTCTGTTGTGACAGCCATCGCTCTCCACATGCAACTTGGTGATGACTTAGACTCAGCAGCTTCCAGGCCAAATCATCATCATAGAATCTGAGCTTCATCAGGCAGAAGTTCAGTGCAGCTGGTTCAACTCCATCCTCCTTCACCCTGTTGTCACCAGGATGCTTTGTAGTTAAGCAGGTTGAACCACCATTCAACAACAGCGTGACTTTGGGTATCTGTCTTAATCGCTCTGAGCCTTGCTGTCTTTATCCATAATGAAAGTTACTGGACCTACACAGGGTTGTACCTGTGACACCCACCTAGCAGCTGATGTGTATTGTAATTGAACACATACTGGATGTGGGTGCTTGTAAACGGTAATGTCTTTTACATTTCCGTTCACTCACTTGTTCACACAATTACTCCCTCATTCAACCAACATTTACTGAGCACTGAGGAGGCGTCAGGCACAGAGCTTGGCGCCAGGTAACATAATGGTGAGCAGCACCTGGCCTCACAGCCCAGGTCTAGTGCAGGAGTTTACAGTCCAATGCAGCGCTGGGTTCCCAGCATGTGGGGCATGGTGGGGGGGGTGTTTAGACACAGTGCCTGGACAGGGCACTAATCACACTGCATTGCTCTTGTAGACAATTATTACTCTTTTGGTTACCTTTCCATCCTTCAGATTCCATCCAGGAGAGAATCTCTGTTGGATATAAATGTGTCTTTAACATCTCTAACATTTGTTAATCTTCCTTCTCAACAAATAAAAGAAGACCTCAAAAGCAGATGTTCTGGGCAGCATCTGGAGAGATTTTAATAGCATGGATACCTCTGGCTTTTCAAACTCAGAAGCCAGATAGAGGTTCTTTTCAGATGATGCACAGATATGAGAAGCTTTTGTGAAGATGGGTCAGGAATGAATGAAAGTTGAGGAAATACCGACCTATTAAATTTCTCCCCACCCTCTTTATTAGCCCCATTTTACAGTTGAAGCTGCGTCTCTTTGTAGAGGCGATGGACAGAAGGCAGAGAGCTCTTTTCTAAATGGCCAGGCAAGCAAAGCCAAGAAGTGTCTTTGTGGTGGAGTTAGATATGTATATAAAATAGTGATTGCTCCTCCCCTCCCTCTGCAGTACGTGTGTGTGTGTGTGTGTGTGCGTGTGTGTGTAAGTGTGCGGAGCCACAGACCTTTCCGAATGAGTGACAGCGGGAGCCCATCCCTCCAAGAGAGGCGTGCAGAATGACCAATGGCAAAGATACTGGTGGATGGATACCAGTCTCTGCAGAGGCGGGGGTGCAATCCGTCGGGCCCACCCTTTACACCTCCACCGCTCCCAGCTCTCAGTTCCCCCGGGCGGGGAGCACTCAAGGTGCTCATCTCCTTCATGCAACCCGGGCCGAGGACGGGGTAGGGGGCGAGGTTCAGATCTAAAGAACCCAGGCTGCGGTCCCCGCGCCGCAGCGCTGCGGCTGAGAACACTTCGCAGGGAGGCCGACCGCCTCCGGGTGCCAATATGTAAAGCAGCTGGCGGCACGGGGCGGGGCCTGGACTCAATGCAAATGAGGAAGGCGGGCTCTGCACGGAGCTCCGCCCCCCTCCCCGCAGCTGGGGCCAGCGGTACCAAGCGCAGCTGGACGAGCGGCGGCAG